CTAGGGACTAGGGCGTGATCACATATTTGGAGGGGCCACCATTTACCCCATTACAGGAAGAAACCCATATATGTATACATTAGGCCAAGCTGTGCATATCAAAGAGAGGGTAGGAGCCTTGGAGTCCTGCTCAATACCACCCTCCTCATTCAGGCCTCCTGGGTGCTTTTGGGCTACTGCTGCGGAACCCCTAGGCCTTTAAGGAACACACTTTGTGAACCATTGCGTTAGTGGAAGGTGGGGGCTCTTAGGGAATTCCTTGGACAAGGACCCACTTGGCCTGGCTTCTCTCCCAGCATGCTGGCATGAGTAGTAGCCAGCCACCACCGACGCTGTGTACTTACTGAGAAATATCCTTTTAGTGCCGACTTTAGATTTTATGTTGAAGTGTGATTTGGGTTAAATATAAAATTCATAGCATATCTTGAGCAACTATTTTGTAGTTATCTATATATAAATCTATTTTACAGAGACACAAATAGAATAGATTGTGGAGTGTCAGCATGTAGATAGATTCCGAGTGCTTTTCACTAATATACCTAATGATTCGTGCTGAGAATATCCAAGGGCTCTGCTGTACATTTAAATGGATATAATTAAAATAATGAGCTCTATTTTAAAAAATGATATATGAAAAAAATTTTTTTACAGAAGTTAGAAGGAGCTGCGCCACTAATTCAAAGTGATATAAGTACTCCTGCAATTTCATTGTTATTAGGACACCTAATTAAATGCACAGCATCTGAGAAAAGCAACATTTGGGCTTCTAAAACTAAAGCGTGAAGCCAGGGAAGAGAAGTTGCCCATGTGCCCAGCGCAGCAAGGGCGCAGGGGTGTCACCTTTCACGGGAGTGTATGTTGTGTGCCATCGTGCCTGTGGGCGAGAGGATGGCTCATGTGGCTCCCACTGTAAAATGTGAGAATCACCTGTGCAAGGCAGATGGGACATTAAGAGAGGGGGCCTCACTCCATCTCCAGGGAGCAGGGCAGGCTTCCTAGAGGTGGGGATGTCTTCGCCAGCATGGTGAACACATCCATGGAAATCTACTCTGCGTCTGCTCCCTGGCTCACCTCCTGCTTCCACCCTGGCAAGGATCATGGTGTCCCTTGAACGGACAAGGAAACTGAGGCACAGAGGAGGGAAACTTTTGCCTGAGGTCACAGAGTGTATGGGCGCCCAGCCTGTCTGACTCCCAATTGCCCCTCCCTGTCACCAGGACGTCACCGTGCTCACCAGGTCCTTGAGAGCAGGAGGGGACGCCAGATCTGTTCTGGTGGCATGATCAAGTGCACCCAGGACTCAGGCTGAGCTTCAGAACATGGCAGTGAAGAAAGGGCTGAGGGCGCTCTGGGGGGGGGCTGAATTTGTCCTCTCCCCTCCTCTTCTCCACAGGCAGGTTGGACGCCCGCCCCGGTGAGCTCCTCTGCTGGTCCTGGGAAGGACTGTGCTTGGAGCAACCAGGGCCGGGACCAGCGAGGGCCAAGCCTGGGAGAGTCCTCAGTGGCCTGCCCAGTGCCCCCCCACCCCCAGCCCTGTGGGCTGTGTTCCTGCCGGACGGGCATCGAGGGTCGGACAGGACCCTGCCTTCTGTCTTTGTGCCTGGTGAGCCTCAGCGCGAGCAGGACTGGCTGACCATTTGCACCCACGTGGTCTCATCTAGGGAGTGGGAATTTCAGCCGCTTCTGTCACCAGTTTCCACTAGCATGATCAGCTCTGAGTCCACTTAGACAAGGTGTTGGATTTACATTTTTGCAGTTGATCCTCACAAGGCCTTTTGAGTAGGTGTGGGGGTCCCCGCTTCACAGATACGGAAACAGGCTCAGAGAGGGTCAGGGGCTCACTCAGTGTCTCCAGCCAAGAAGTGATATATAAAGTTAGGATTTGCACTCCCACCAGTCTACCTCCGCAGCCCCTGTGTTAACGTCTGTGCTGGGGGAGCCCCTTCCCCTGCATCCTGTGCACACTCCCCTCCCCCACCCCTGTAAGACAGTAGATACCCATAGGACATCTCCCCTGGGGCCCCTGTCCTCAGTCCCATGCAGATACTGCCTTGTCTCTGCATCACAGTACTGAAGGGGTAGGTGCTCTGTTTACCCATTGTATGGGTGTGAGGACTGAGGCTGGGGTGAGGGTGGGGGTGGGGGGTGTGAAGTCACTGATGCGGACACCCACAACTTGAGCAGGGCAGTGCCGAGATTTAGCCCTGGGATGATCTGACTTCAAGCCCTGGTGCTCTCTTCCTCTCAAGTCCTCACATCCATCCCTGCCAGGCCGTCAGCCAGCCTCTGCTCTGGCGCCTCAGTGCCAGGCAGCTCCCTACCCCTGGCCTGTCCCCTCCTGTTGCTGGCAGGAATGTTCTCCCTCCCTAAAGCCATAACTGTCCCTTGTAACCTCTCAGGCCCGTCAGTCCTGGTTCTGCTCCAGGACCTCGCAGAACTCAAAGGCTTTTTTTCTGGGATGGGATAGGCATGGCCCCCTGCCGGGAGGGCGCTGGACCTTGGAGGGGGGCTCTAGCTCGAGATACTTTGTGGAGGCCACAGCGGCCAGAAAAGCCAGGAGCTCTCCGTCCCCCTGCTCACCCACTAGCACCTTGGTCCTAACTCTGTTCTGGATGCTGAATTCAGGGCAAGGATGGGTGGCATGGGGTCTGCCGGGTGTGTGGGCGGGCGGGCTTCCCTCTGAAAGTTCCTCTCCCGGTCCAGGGGCATTGCAACTAAGAGCCAGGATGCCTGCATCAGTGTAGGTCCCACTTCTTTGTACCCATGTGACTTTGGACAAGCTATTTCACCTTGTACCTCAGTTTCCTCATCCATAAAATGGAGATTAAAGCAGGCCTCACCTCTCGGGGCTGTTCTGAGGAAGCGAGGAGTCAGTGTGTTAGAACAGCGCCTGGCACATGGGGAACTCAACTGAAGTGTTTCTTGAATAAATAAAAGAAATGAATGCTGAGGTGATTGGACCACCCAGTTGTTATGCTTCCTGCTGAGGGAGAAGGGCGTGTGGTTAGGCAGGGTCTGGCCCTGATGTGGTGAGCACACAAGGAGAGGGTGTCACGGCCCACTGGGTGCCGAAGATGTCCCAACAGTTTTTCATTATTAGCAACAGTAATGCTGGCCGTGCCTTGAGAGCTGTTCCAGGCCGGGCACTGTGCTCAGTGCTTTTTGGGCGTCAGTTGATTGAAATCCATGTGCAAACCCTGTTAGCTCCCTTTTGCAGAAGTGAACTGAAACTAAGAGGTCAGGTAGCCGGCTCAAGTCACAGGGCAAGGAAGGGGCCGACTCACTGGCCTTTGCCTCTGGCTGGGGTCCTGTCCACCTCCCTTCTCGTTCCTGCCCCGTTCGTCTGCCTCCTGGCCTCCTGTGTTAGTCAGCTCAGGCTCCATACGAAATGCCACGGACGGGGTATTTTCTCACCGTCCTGGAGGCTGGACGTCTGAGATCGGGGTGCCGGCACGGTTGGGTTCTGGGGAGGACCCTCCTCCCAGCTTGCAGATAGCCACCTTCTCCCTGTGTCCTCACATGGTGGGGACAGAGTCAGAGTCTTTTCCTTTTCTCCCAAGATCACAGTCCTGTCAGATGAGGGTTCCACCCTTATGACCTATTTTAACCTTAATTATCTCGTGAAGACCCTCTCTCCAGGTACAGTCATGCTGGGGATTAGGACTTCACCGTATGAGTTGGGGGGCTGAGGACATAATTCAGTCCATAACACCTCCCCGGTGTTATGGGGGCCTTTCTCTGACCCCTTCTTTGCTGGAGCCTTTCCTCTTTCTCTTCTCAATTTCTCCACCCTGGCGGGGGAACAGAGAGCTGAAAGGGACAGCGGACATGATAAAACCCATGCTGTCGTGATAGGAGTAGTTGGAGCCCAGAAAGGAGAAGGGTCTTGTCCGAAGTCACACAGCAAGTCCACTGCGGATCCAGGATCAGCACCTGGGTCCCTGCCTCCCAGTCGGTGTGCCAGTGGGTCTCGCCCAACTGTGCCGCGAGCCTGGGCCTTGAAGATCACAGAGCAGACGCTTCTCTGGAGCGGTGGAGAAGCCTGGACACGGCCAAGGCAGCAGCCCCGGGCCTGGAATAGGACTTGATTTCCCAGTTTGTGCACGGCTCAGCTTCCCCCACCTGGGAAACGGGAGCAGTGGGTGACAGTCCCCAGCCAGAAGGATGAGGGGCCTTTATGACAACACAGCTAAGGAGTAGATGGCAGGGACCTGGTTTCATGCCTTGACCTGCCCTGGGCGAGTCACAGCTGTGCTTGGCCTCAGTGTCCACGTGTCCTGGCCACCGCAGCACTGCCCTCTTAACCTTGAGGATGTTTTCTGATATTTGAAGAAGCCTCCAGGAGGCCAGCGTGTTGGAGGCCAAGTGTTGGTTCGAGGACATCTCAACCAAGTTAGCCTTTTTTGGCTTACAGTTTCCCCATCTGTGAAACTGGAAGCGGGAAGAGCTTGGATGAGATCTCCGGGCCTTTTGCCAGGGAGTGAAAGGAATGGCACCAGACACCTCGCACACATCAAACCACTTAAACCCTCCTGCTCCACGTGCGGATGGCAGAGCAGCAGCACCAGCTTGTTGGAAACGTAGGATCTCAGGCCAAACCCTGGACCTGCTGAACCAGAATCTCCATTTGACCAAGATTTGCAGCTGATTTACGTGCACATTGAAGCTTGAGAAGAAATGATTTCAGTCAGCCAAAGCTTCCCTTTTCGGTCTCTTGTAACTCCATTGACAGGAATTACTGAGCACATTTAGTCCTCTTCAGACTCCAGCTTCCCCATCTGTAAAATGGGTGGAGTTGGAGCCAGGCTAGCCCAGTATTTTCAAACTGTGCTTGGAGCCCCAAGCTTTCCGGGAGGACCTCCCGGGCAGCCATGGGCTGTGTGCTTCAAGGAGAGGTGGGTCTGTAGCTAAAGATTTTGTAGCCCCCTGGGCTGGTGGGTTCCTCTATAGGTCTGGGGGTGCGCATGGGCTCCAGCTGAGCAGACTTTCTTCTTTTCCAGGGAGCGCTTGAAGCGCAGCCAGAAGAGCACCAAGGTGGAGGGGCCAGAGCCCGTGCCGGCCGAGGGCTCACTGAGCGCCGAGCAGGGAACGATGACGGAGGTGAAGGTGAAGACAGAGGTGCCCGATGACTACATCCAGGAGGTGATCTGGCAGGGTGAGGCCAAGGAGGAGAAGAAGGCTGTCAGCAAGGATGGGACTGGCGATGTGCCCGCTGAGATCTGCGTGGTGATCGGTGGTGTCCGCAACCAGCAGACCCTCGGTGAGTGACCACGTGAGAGGGTTGGGGCTGGGACCAGAGTCCTGGGGAGAAGAGGCCCGGAATCTCTGGCCCCCTTTGGCCAAGAGCCTTCGGTGGCTGCCCTCTGCCCTCAGGGCAAGAACTGGGCTCCTTAGATTTACCTTCGCCTGCACAGTTCTAGTCTGGAGCTCTTTTCGCCTGATGTGGCACAACCCTACTCATCCTTTGCCACTTTGTTGAGTCAGATGCCTGGAACTCTCTGCAGACTGCTGACTCCCTCATGCTTGGGGCTCCCACGCCCCACGCAGGACTAGCACAGGCCCATGTAGCCTGGTGTCCCACATGCCTGTCTGTATTTCTCCCTCCCCTGCTTGACCAGAGGCTCTTCCCAGTGCAGGTCCTGCTCAGAGCAGGTGCTCATTCAGGATCTGGTTGGTGGCAGACTGGTATCTTCCCCAGCCTCTTCTGATCTGGACCAGGCTCAAAGGAGCTCTGTAGCAGTGAGCTTCTCAGAAATCATCTGTCCCCTCACTTTCCAGCATGAGCCAGGGGATCCCCCTCCGGGGCTGCCTGCATTCCTGCCAGGTTCACCAAGGCCCAGCAGATATGTTTATTTAGCGTAGGAGAGATGAGCCAGACAGGCAGGTGGTGGGGATCATGTCCAACTGGAGCGCCCGCGCCTCACATACAGAAGGGGGTCTCTCCTCAGCTGCGGCTGACTGTAACCGGGTGGGGAGGCGGGCTCAGTGTGGCCAGCTCTCTGGACATACCACATACCAGAAATGAGAATTTTCACATGCATCCTTTTGGCTTCAAGTGTTGGCAACTAATTTGACTTTTAAAATATGCCAAACAAAACATGTCTGTGGGGCAGAGTCATTCCATGGGCCAGAAGTTTGCAAACCCTGGCCTGAAAGGTCCACGTGCCTCAGCCTGGCATCGGGGCCTCACCTAGCCTGTTTCAGAGTGCCTTCCTACTCATGTCCCATGGTAAGTGTGTTCTTAGAAGTGCCACCATCTCTCTCTCCTGCCTACCCTTCTGGTCCAGCTCTAACTCATCCCTGACATCTAGGTGCACATCCCGTGTGTGGCATGCAGGGCCTAGTGGGGAAGTTCCCCTCTGCCTGTTTCCCCAAGTTAAGACTCAAGTCCTGTTGCCTTTTCTTTCCCACCTCTGGGAATAATCAGCCTCGAGATCCCTATTCTACCTGTTCCTTTGCTGGTTTTGGCCACCGTCAGCCCAACCTGGGTCATTGTGGCCTCCTGCTAACAACCGCGCCTTTGTGTCTCCCTGCTCTCACCTGCCCTCCATTCTGGGTGCCAGGGGCCTTGGCCAAAACAGAACAAAACAGAACACTGAGCATGTCACATCCGGATTATAAACTTGGGATTCCCCACTATGTCTAGGGTCAAGGCCATAACATGAAGAACCTCCATAACCTGAGCCTTTCAACCTCATTTTGTATTTCTGATTTTCCCAGACCTTTTGTTCCAGCACAGTCTGTTCTTCTCCAGCATTTCCTGCCCTTTGCCCTTGCTGTTCCCTCTCCCTGGAATGCCTTTGGCCATTTTCGCATGCCCCAGTCTACCCATCCTTCAAGGCCAACTTCATTGCCACCTCCTCCCAGAAGTCTTCCTTGATCTCTTCTGGTCAGAAGTGGTCTGTTTGTACCATCTCTCACTTGGGCACTTCACATTATCTGCTTTAGATTAGAGGTGCCCTGTTCTTGCTTGTCTCTGCCACAAGATTGGGAGCTTCTGGAGACTGGGGCTCCAGGACCTGTCAGACCTGTGTCCCTCTCCCCTCCACTCTCACTCCACAATACCTAACGAGGTACTGGCTTCTAGGACCCTGTGTTGACACTGGTGCTGTAACTGTCAGGATGGGGCTAGGTTATGCCACAGTAACAAAGATCCTAAAAGTAAAAAGAGATTTTAGTAGCTCAAAACCACAAAAGTTTATTTCTTAATCACACTGCATGTCCATCGTGGGTCATTTGGGAGCTTCATTCTGCTCTGGACCCAAGCTAAACGCAGCCATTATATGGAATTCTGCCACCATGTGACAAAGGGGAGGAAAGCTCTGGAAGGACTCAAACTGGCAATTAACCTGCTGAAACCCAGGAGTGAGAAGTGCTAATTCTATGCAGTCATTGGCCAAAACTAGTTACATGGCTCACCCAATCTCAAGGCGGCCAGGAAATGCCACACCAGCATGTGACAGAAGGGGGACAAACCAGAAATATTTGAAGAGCATGAGTGACTTAGCCCAGTGCCATAAGACAGAAGACTCTTTCCAGGGGCGTGTTCCTGGCCTCGGTCCATCAGTGCTGACTCCCCAGGACCAAGGACTTTTAGCCACTAGATATATTAGTTAACTGAGAAGAGGACACCCTTTCTCATGTTGAGGGGTAGGGGTGTTTTAAGACTCATTGTACCCAGGATGCCCTTCACCAGGAGATGTGCAGAAGGGCATTGGAATTTGAATCTTGGGATGGAGCCAGCAGGCTGGATTCGGTGGGGAAAGCCTGGAGCAGCCGTGCTAGGGAAATGCGGGCACCCGTCCCTGGGCCAGCTGCCTGCACAGTGGGAGGCCCCAGGGCCCTTGGCCTCATGCCAGTCACCACGCTGGTTTCCAGCTCAGCTGGTGCTCAGCAGCGGGGTCCCTGGCCTCGCTGTGCCTTAGTGTCTTCTTCTGTTAAATGAGGCGTGCTCCGTGTCCTGGCCACCTGTGAGGTGTGAGAATCAAAAGAGGCAGTGGAAGGGAGCAGTGTTGTGTGAGAATGAACGCGGCTCCTCCGGCTGAGAGTGAATCCAGGCTCTGTGACTTAGAGCTGTTGTACCTTGGGTAAGTTACTTGACCTCTCTGCGCCTCAGTTTTCACTCTGGCAGATTCGTTGGGCTGTGCGAGGATTCAGTAAACATAAATACATATGTAAAGCACGCAACACTGTGCTTAGTAAATGGTTAGCTGTTGCTAGGACTCGTATTAACAGTATAAAACACCTCTTCAAAGGGAAAGAGTAGTAATATTTCTGCTTTATTTTTTTCCAAGGTTAAGAAATAAGCCATTGTGGTAGAGGAAAAAAATGGGATGGAGGAGAAACTTGGCACTGGATGGGGTGTTGTCAGAAGACAAGGTTCCAGTGGAGCGTCAGTTTTCTCAGCTGATAACTGGACAAGGTTGTCCCATCCCGGGAGCGCCTTTGGGTGCCACCTCCCTAGAATTCAGGAAGTTGGAGTATCTTGTGGGATTTCTGAGTTTCCAGCTTTTGGCATACCCTTGTGAAAAGATGTAACAGCCACCGTGATGAGTTAGACAGGGACCCACCCCATTGGAGCCCTCACCAAACAGGCCTGGGTCGTTCGCTGCTAGTCGTGGCCACGCGTCCCGCATCCCTCTAGCCCGACCTACCCTGAGGGTGTAGTTTCTGCCAAGGATCAGGCTCAGAGGAATGTGACTTGGCCACAGCACCAGGAAAGAAAAGCATTTAACAACAACAACAAAATCAATGTTACAATAGAACCTTTTGATTCATCTAATGATGAGATGGCAAGTAGATTTCATCTTGTGGGCCAAGTCCAGGTAATGGCTGCTGGCTCATAGGAGTCTGTGCTGAAACTTCTACAGGGCGGCACGATCCATTATTGATGTCTGCCGTGGGCGTGCAAGTGGGCGGTAGGCTACACATGCTGTAGATTGGACACCCCTGTCCCCTTCGTTTTATAGAAGGGCAAACAAAAGGCCTGCGGAAAGAAAGACAGTTACCCTGAGTCACACAGCAGGTCGGTGACATTTTCTCCCACTTTGTGGAGGCCCTGCTTCACTCACAGCACCCTGCTCCCACCCACTTCCGGAAAGGAATGAGACTCCCAGGGATCTTGCCTGGGGTGGAAGGCTGGTTGGAGCTGTCCCATTAAATGCGCGCGTGCCGCGGTGTGCTTCTGTGCCCTGGTGGCCAGGCATCGAGGAGTTAACACGTTCCATGGCAGCTGGCAGGGGAGCCTGAGGCTCTGCAGAGCCAAGGGCCTGCCAAGGGCCTCCTGAGTGCCACGCTTAGGGCTCAGAACCGGGCTCTGTTGCTGAATAGAATAGCGGGCCTGTTTGGTCACCCAGTGCTGTGCCATGAGGGAACCTCCTGTTTGCCTTTTCTCTGAGCTCCATTCCCCTCACACCCCCCACCCCCACGTCCTCATTGGCCCTTTAGCAACCATCAGACAAACAGTGTTCCCAATGACACAAATATTATCCGAGGCACTTCCCATGGACAAGCCCAGTCATGGACATGTGGATGGCATTTGGCAGTTTCTCAGGCTGGGAGAGTCAGGAGGGGCATCAGTGCCCAGGATGCTGGCTGCCAAGCTTGCAGTGATTGCTCTGATCTCCCTTTCTGCCCAGCGATTCCTTGGGCTGAGAATACCCCTTGCTCATAGAAGGAACGTCACTGCCATTGGAGCCAGTGTGGGGCTTAGGGGCAAAACCTTGAGCTTCCTCATTTAGCCAGAAGAGTAGAGATAATACTGACAGTGACAACTTTGTTGGCTAAAACCGGAAGTGAGTTCACAACTGCCTGTTCCCTCCTGACAAGCTGCATGCAGAAGTCTGCACTGCAGCAGCCCCAAGGAATTGCAGAACCACACCGGCGGTTTCGGGAGCTCCTCTGCGAGGAGTGCTAACAAACACAAGGAACTACCATTGCGACTCCCCAGTTCCACCTTTATGGCATCGCTCATTGATCGCTGCATGCTGTCCTATCAGTGGACCTCAGAACCGTTCTCAACACTGTATGCCAAGAAGTCACCTCCAATCAGCCCAAATTGAAAAATCTGAAGGAGAAAACTGCCTGCCATCCTTGTCCTAGATGGTGAAGACAAGGCAGGCTGGGTTGACACCAATGAGGACCTCCAGCCCCTGGGACATTTTTTGGTTCAGAGAGAGAAGAATGCCCAGGTCCCATCATGGCGGTCAGAATGTGCAACCAAGAGTGGGTGGTCTCCTCTGTGCTGTTAGACTATTGGTC